CATTAAACCTTAAAAGATTTTTAACGATCCACTTTTTGATAAATTCAATTCCCTTTATTTCAAACTACCTCAAACATTTAGGCTGTTTTTTTAGCCTCTTATTTTAGAAAATCTCTCAGTAGATCTTTGTTTTTTATCTGCATATATATTTATTTTTCAGATTCCACAACTTTGGCAAAGGTTTAACAGTTTAAGGTTAAATAACATAGTGTTATTTTATCATTAAACTAAATGAAATGCATAAATACACTTCGATTTGCATGAACAATAATTAGCAATAGATGGGAAATAAATGACATTTATCCAACTCTAACAATTAAATAAATTGATCAAATAATGCATTATTCTTTTGTTTACAGCCTTGTGTCATCAGGTTTAAATATTTGACCACTGATGCCTTTAAAACAGCTTCTATTTCAGTTTTTGTAGAGCGAATATCTCAAGCAAGAAAAATCTGAGAAACCTTCCTAACGTCCTCCACCGCTCTCTGCAAACAGCAAAAAACATAAAGCATTATTTCAAAGTAAAAGCTTAACTATAAGGGCAAATATTAATGTCATAAATATATTATTCATGTTACACTTTTCAGGTTATGTTTATTCCAAAAAGTGCTAAGCATAAATGAAAACCAGATTATAATTTTAGAAATACAGTTTTCCTAATCCCACATAGGATTAAGACTTTTTACATTTTAATTGACTGTTATATAAACAATACAGATAAAGTAAACTTTAAATATATTTCACTCAGTGTATTTGTTTATTTATTTAAAATTAGTAAAACTTTAAAAAAATAAAAAAACAACAAACCAGACTGCTAAAGCAGGGATTTTAATCTTTTTTTTGGGCAAGTTGCTGCTTTATTCCCATATTTTCTGCTTCCTGTCTTCTCCTTCCCAAGCAGAGTCACTCTGACTTGGCTAAAATATCAGACTGCAGATATAATCTGATAAACTTCTCATCCTGTCTCACTGCTGCACAGGTTAAATTCCTTCTCAGCCATGTCATGTCAAATATGCTACTGATACACCAAGAGGCTCTTTGTGCAGGTTGACTTTGCCTGAGGGGTGTGGACAGACAAGGAAAAACCAGGACAGCAACAGATTCATATGCGAAGTAGAATATGGTTACTGTATTTTGAAGGCTTTTTGAATAAAAAAAAACCCTAAAACAGTAGAAAAGGAAGCTGTAAAACACGTATTTCAGCTTTGACGAAGAAAAATAAGCTGGTTGGATCAGAGGTTTACCGGTACTTGTCGCAGCAGCAAATAAACTTAAAATTCTAAATTTATGATTGTTTGCTGCTTAACTTTGATCAGCCTTTAATTCGGCATAGAACGAATATATTCCCAGTCAGTTTATAAGGTCATGGAGAGTGCTTCGGTTTTTGATGGGAGAAGTGTGATGTCTCAGGAGAGGCTTTTATAAAACCCGAGAAAAACTAGTGTTAAATCAGCTTGGGCTTGAATATTAAAAATTCATAGAAGACACTTCGATTACAAAATTGGGACATGCATTTTGAATGACATTTACAAGAAAAAAGTATTTTTTCTTCGGTATCAGAAATGCATAAAGGAATGAAAATGCTAAAGCAGCAGATAATCAGCAAAAAACAAGGAATGCGTTCCAGTTTCTCTCACGCTAACAACCTTTTCAGTAGATTACAGAAACATTGTTTCATTTGATATAAATGCAAAAAGCACCATCTCTGTTTTTTTATTGAAACTGGCATATATGCAGCTTGAATTTCATTGCTAAAGGAAGAGGAAAATACATTTAAAAAAAAACCTCTTTGTTTGTGCAGATCCACTCACCAGGAAGAGAAAATGGCTTAATGTAAAATTCAAGCAGGCATGTTTGTTTATGCAGCAAACTAGATAACTACATAAAGTAAGATCTTCCCTTTAATCTGATTTGTAAAGCTGCTTAATTCGGTTCAGGCACATTAGTGAGGCTGTTGCCCCTCTCAACCATCATCCCCTCCCAGGACAACACGAAATGTAGGCTGTCCACACACAGCCAAATCCAGGATAAAAAGGGCATTTTACTAAACATGTATGTTTCTGAACCAGAGGAAACTGGAGTCTCTGCAAAAAAAAAGGGGGAAAAATGGACTCTAGGATCTTTATCTTGTATGTAAACACCTCCAACTACTATTTTTTTGGTTTCAGATAACCAAACCAGCTCTGTCAGCTAATTTAAGCACCATAACCTGAGCATGTCCACCTAATATGCTGAGGGATGAAAATGAGAAGGCGAGTCCTCCTGCCATTGTTCCGGCTCTGTGGAGCATTAAACACCAAGAGGCTATGTCAGGAATGAGCTCTCCCTTCCCTCTCTTCCCAGCCACCAAAACTTCAGAGCAGAGCCAATCAGGCGTAGACTGTTTACTCTGAGCCGCAGACACACCAACTCAACCATACATGCACATGGTTATCCATGCACAGATGCAGTCTGGTTTCATTCATCTAGTTAAAAAGATAAAATAAGCATCAGTCCTTTAAGCACCTCGGCGCTTCACACAGCAGCTTGCAAACGTAGCTTTAACTCCTCTCCCCTTTTCCCATTGCTTCTTTCTTTTTTGGATTTTATTAGTCAAACAAAAAGCAGTGGTAGTAGTAGTTTTTTGCATTAAAGAGTACTGTTCGAATCGTCATCATAAAACATGCAGCTGCCAAACTTCAAAGACATGGCCGTCTAGGATGTTCAAGAAGAGCATTAATAGAGGCAGCTGAGAAGAGCATGGTAACTTTGGAGGAGCTGCAGAGACCATGTGAGAGGGTAATTAGTCATGTATTGCACAAATCTAGGCTGTTGAGAAAAATAGTGAAAAGACATCTGACAGAAGGATATGAAAACATGTGGAAGCAGGTTCTCTGCTCAGATGAGAATAAAGTTGCAATGCTGAGAATAAAGCTGCCAAATACTGTGTTGGAAAGAGGATTGCATACATTCTAAGCATGGCATTGGCAGCATCATGCCATGGGGGCTCTTTTACACCAACTAGACCAATGGTAAATCCATGGACACCCTGGAGGAAAAACTACTATTTAAAAGATAAAAGACTTGAGACCATGGATGAGGTTCAAAGCATATTTATCAGAACGGTTTAGTCAAAGTCCAGATATAAATGTAATAGAGAATCTGTGGCAAGACTTGGAAAAACAGCCTGTCTATTCAACCTGAATGAGTATGAGCTGTTCTTTTGTTTAAACAAAAAACAATGAGTAAAAATCTGAGCCTTGGCTTGCAGCTCAGATTGATGTATAGCTAGAATCTATGATATGTTGACTCAGCAGCCAAAAATACAAATGCACATTGTGTTTGCAAAACAAAAAAAACCAAAAAAAACAAGAACTCTGTATATGGAAGAGAGAAAAAAAGACTTGAGTTCAAAACTGAGCAAGGCTCTCTGACCAAACCAGTGTTAATAATGAACTTTGCCTTATAATTGGGCAGATTGGTTTTAAGTTCACCTTCCTCTAAGTGTCCTTCATTTTGACCATGACCCCTCAGAAATGCAACTTTTTCAGTAATTAAAATGTAACTGCGGTTATAGTATAACACACAGAACCTCCCATGTCAGCCAATCAGGTTAAATTAGTAGATCAAAGTCAGACTTTGTCTTTACGAAAAACATTCTTAGGATTCCAGACGTTCCCTTTCAGTGCTGCTCGTGGTTTGCATTTCTATAATAGAGGAACCGTAGAAATGGGCCAGTAGAAGCAACTACCGGTATATGGTTCCTACTTGTGAAGCATAATTCCTGCATAAGCAGTAAATGTAAGAGAGAACAAGAGTTAAATGGTTTCGCCACTTATTCAACAAACAGGATCAATCCTCGGTCACTGAAACTGCAAAGAAGCTGATGTGTTCCTTAAGTAAACACACGTCTCAACAAAGGCTCAGTTGTTATTCAGTCACCAGTAGCTGTGCACCTCTGGGTGACAACGGCTTCGCCTTACACGCCGTCCCTCTCACTTGTCACAAGGACGAGCTGAGTCAACAGAGACAGGAATGCCACCAAACTGGCCAATCAGCCGTCGCTCGTCCTCATCAGCCAACTGGATCGACTCACTTTAATACTTACTGCTTTCTCCTACCTAATAACTTTAACATTTATGGTAAAACTTTCACTGAGCACCATCATCTTCGATCTTCAATAATTTAACCCAATTTTAAGTTGCATTATTTTATCCTATTTTAAGTTGCATTATTTTCATGCATAACTAAACCACTTAATATGAATTTCTACAATTACCTTAGACTTTGTGTAAAGAAAATAAAGTCCTTTAAATTTAACAGAGTTGCTTCTTTAATATGAATTTTATATTATTGACATACTGTTCGAAAAAGAAATATATCCTTTAAAAGAAAAGTAAAAAATAAACATTCTGCAAACAGATATGTAAAAATATGTTATACCAATTTATTAGATAAAGACGGATATTTTCTAATAGATTTTTTGCAGTTTGGATTATTCTAGCATGCAGCAACTGAAATACACTGGAGAAGTTTCTAATACAAAAAGTAGAGCCTTAAGGCAATGCAATGATTTAACCAATCACAGTGAAGGCTACGGATTTGATAGTCTGGTTGGCCATCGATTAAAGGGCATTGCTAAAGAAGCTGGCTATCATAGCACATGAAGGGAAAATTTAGTGGAAGGACGAGTTCCTGCATCCCTCTTTTTAAGAAAATCTTAAAAAACATCCCCCTTCTTAAATGGCCATCCCACCCCGATACTATCTCCTGTGACATTTTATTACTGAATGTGTGAAAGTTCTACTATATATTAACAGTAAGGGCAATAATATTGCCCTTTCAACATTTGACGGGCTGTGGGCTTATGAGAAGCCTGAGCAAAATAAATAAAATCAAAGAAGTGGCCTACCATGACTATGAAGCTGATCCCAGTGGGAAATGTGTCCTCTGTATTTGTCCCTAACTATGTAGGGGCAGTGATAGCCCTGCCAAACCAGGGACTGACTGCAAATTAAAAGGTTGCCAAGTCCTAATTTCAGATGAAGGTCAATGCTGGGTTTCATTTTAAAGTCAAGGTTTCTGCACACACTCTTACCATTTGCTGGTCTTGGTTAACTTTGACTGGTCAAGTAAAATTTAAATGCAGCCATCGACCAGAGGATATTAGAGGACCTGCAGACAAGCTTTATAAAAAGACTGATTATATTTTCCAGCAGGAACTGGCACCTGCCTGCACAGCCAAAAGGTACCGATAACAGCTTTAATCAGCAATGTATTGGTCAGAGCTGGATTGATCAGCAAATTAACCTGACCACAATCACAGAGAATCTAGGGATTATTTTCAGAGGGAAGATGAGACACCAGACCAAACAATGTGGAGCAACAAAATGCTGCTAGAAAAAAGCGACTTGAGCTTCCCAGATTTTTGGTATTCACAGGCTAATTCCCTCTATTCCCTGATGCAGAATGGCTGCTAACCAAGCAATTATAATAAATAATATAATAAATCATAACAATGTTTCCAACCATTCAGCAATATATCAATAAACTTTACAGCCAGCATCTTTAGCAAAAACCTCTTCTTGTTTATTATCCTTTTAGCTGGTAGCCTGCCTATAATTGCACAGATAGTAAATCACCAAAGTTCTGTTTTAATGTTATTAGTGTTGTGATTCTATTTTATTTATATCAACCAGTTAAAAAAACGCATTTTTAATTGTTTTTCTAAATAATGAAATTATATTTATTAAAAAACAACAGTATGGCTCCATTTATTTAAAAACAACTGAAACAGGATTTGCAATCAGGTGCTGCTTGCCAAAACAAGGAATTAAACTTGAATCGTTTAACTTAGACATTACTATAAATAATTAACAATTAATGCAGACCTATCACTGGTAGGCTACAGAACAGACAGAGGCGTAGCCAGATAATTTTTATAAGGGTGGCCAGTAATAACCAATGTACACTGAGGGGTGGCTGAAGGTGGATAGGCGCCGGTCAGGCCAAAGATAAGACTAACTATACTTTCCTACAGCCTTTGCTAACAAATAGACGCATATATTTAAACATCAGTGCTTTCTAGATAAAAGATATAGTGGATAAATAGTATGGTGTATAAAATACTTTCAGGTTTGAGTTCTGGGGCGAACATCTTTTCCATTGTCATCACTTACCCACTTTTATCAATAATCATTCAGCATAAAACTGATATTTACAAGTACTAATATCTACATAAATTAATTATCAAATACGTTTTTATTAAAATAGTTATTTATCTATGATTTCACTGAATACTCCTAGATGACTTGCAGAGACACATGATTTTTTCTTTACCCCATATAACACAAAATCTAGCTCTGAAAATAGCTTGAATTCTGTACTTATCATCTTTAATGTTAGTATATTGATATGTGATAATTAACCAAAATGTTTTTGTTGTCAAGAAATTATAGATACATGAAAAAAATAGTGATATATGATATATGAAAAATGTAAATAATATTCCACTAGAGAGTATTACTGCTGCCACCATTTGTATTAAGCCGGTCGTACACTGTGCGATTTTCCAATTGCGCGAGAATCTTTCGATCGGGCCGACTTTCAGCTTGGTCGTGAGTCGTGTAGTGTACAGGGGGTAGCGAGGGGCGATCCGCCTCTCACAACCAGTTCCCGCTCAGGAATCCTAAGGTCGGGAGAGAATCAAATATGTCTGATTCTCTCCCGACCATCGTGGGCAAATCGCTCAGGGCGTATGCGCAAACAAGGACTCATCTTTTTCTTCTCCCTCTCAGATGTAAACACAGAAGCATGGCGGGGAGGCAACGAGTGAAATGGAGTTCTTTCTGTAAAACAGACGGTAGTAGCCACGTTTGCTCAGCCATGTCTTTGTCCAAATACGTTGTCGCCTTTTCTTTTTAGGGCTTTCAACACAAAATTGTTCTAAATTGCCAAGGCAGCGTGTTTCACTATAGAGAGCTTCATATTCCTCTTCTACTCATTCGGCTTTCGGATAGACGAGTCCGAGTAGCGCCATCTCACAACGGAGCTGAGTCCAACATGGATTTTGGTTGTACAGTGTGAGCAGGTACATCGCATGAGAGTGTGGTGGTGCAGATACATCATGAGTCGTGAACTTACAGTTGCAGTGTGTGTAGTAGCTGCGTGCAACGACTGAATAAAAAAAATTGCAAGGTGTACAACTCGCTTTAGAGGGGAAAAAATGGTAGGGGTGGACAATGATTGGCTAAGGGTAGCCATGGCCACCCCTGGCCCACCATCTAGCTCCCCCCCTGAGAACAGATGTACATGAGCCAACCTGACATTTTGAGGTGCTTTTGGCAGACCTCTACTGGTTCTGTGCAGCCGATTGTTTCGCTTATGCTTCTGTCCGGCTCTCAAGATTTTTTTGTTGTTTTGTTAACAGCATGATAATAAAGTCCAAAACACATTATTTCCAAAGCGAATTTCTTCAACCGTGACAGGAATAACACTACAACCACAACAAAAGCTTTTCAGATCGGATATTACTAATGCATCAATTACACAACAGTTTATTTTATAAGGGATGCTACACCTGTGTGCTCCTTGCGTTGATTACGTCACACCCACCTATCCGGTCAGTCGGTATCGGTGCGCGTCGAAACCTCCCGGCTGTTTCCACCTGAGCAGCAAAACCAGTGGAAATAATCAGCTGCCTCAGCGATGGAAACCTCCGCATCCTATTGGAGGCGTTCACCTGCTCCACCAGCCGCGCATATCCTCTTTACGCAGCGCAGACAGATCCGATTAAACCAAGAGTGGATAAAGAGCTGAGAAACTAACCCCAACAATGACGGCCAGCTACAAAAAGTCTGTTCCTCCTGATAATAAGCCACAGGTGGACACAGCGCTGCGGAAATGTCCGCTCAGCCTGAACACACTGCGATCCTCACTTTATTCCCAACTCAAAGTAAACAAGCAGCTGATGAGTATTACTGCACCTGCGTTGCCGGTCTCTTCCTCCGCCAGGTTTCTGGACATGAATCAGCAGCAGATCCACGCAGCGCTAAGATGGGGAGATATTATTCCACGAGCTGAGGACATTGGGGAAAATTACCCCCACTACCAGTGGAACCTGTTGCCAGCACGTCCGACGGACCGGCCTCTCGCCTCGGCGGCGATCTGATTGGTGGAAGCTCCCGAAGGGGGCGGGGCTTCATTTTGCACCGACTTTCATCTCTTCAGCTCTACATTTAAAACACAATGCAGCCACTGTGTGACCCATTTGAGCTGTGTAATCAATGAGAAACGCTTTGCATGGCACTATTATCTATATAAGCAGAACCAATGGGAAGTAGAAGCATAGTTTGCTGCTTCTTAAGATTAAAATAGACTTAATTTATACATTTTTTAAGGTCATAACCCCTAAGTTGTCAGGATTTTTTTGAGAAAGTAGTCTAACTCCTTAAAGGAATAGTACACCCAAAACATGATTAGCCTTCATTTTCTACTCACCCCCATGCTGAACAACACTCTGGAGTACTTTTTTGATATCTCAAATGCATCTGGAGATCTGGGAGGCTTCTTGCTGTCTGCTGACAGTCAAATAATGGAGGTCCATGGCGCCCGAGGCAGAAAGGTCCATAAAAGTCCACAAAAAACGTGTCAATATTCCTCCATACTGCTCGTCCAATGTATTCCAAGTGTCCTGAGTGGGTAGCATCCAGAATTTACTCGAAACAAAGTCATTTAGAATGTTTTTAGAGCATAAACAGTAGTGTATAGGATTTCCTAAAAGCGCGTTCACGAGTCTACGGAAACCGCGGCAGACCAAAAAAGATGAAAGTGCGCATTCAGCGTCTGCTCTGTCGATAACGCAAGCGTAGAAGAAGAAATGTGCTGTTTACCTGTGCAAAGAAAGAAACGAAAGAAAAATGTCTGAGGACTTCAGTGTTGAGGAAGAGCATGAGTTCTTTGCCGAGCTGAATGCGCACTTTCGTCTGGTTTGGTCTGCCACGGTTTCCGTAGACTCGTGAACGCGCTTTTAGGAAATCCTATACACTACTGTTTATGCTCTAAAAACATTCTAAATTACTTCGTTTCGAGTAAATTATGGACGCTACCAACTCAGGAAACTTGGAATACATTGGACGAGCAGTATGGAGGAATATTGACAGGTTTTTTGTGGACTTTTATGGACCTTTCTGCCTCAGGCACCATAGACCTCCATTATTTGAATGTCAGCAGACAGCAAGAAGCCTCCCAGATCTCCAGATGCATTTGAGATATCAAAAAAGTACTCCAGAGTGTTGTTCAGCATGGGGGTGAGTAGAAAATGAAGGCTAATCATGTTTTGGGTGTACTATTCCTTTAATATTCTCCTTAAAATTTATTTTTACAGGGACTGTTGTCTCCTGATGTCACTTAAAAAGGCATGTTAAATAGCAGATTAATAGACTAAAACTACATTTAATCACCTTATCTATACAAAATCAATTGGATGATTTCTAAAAAGCAGTGGAAGATCAATTAGCTTTAATTGGCTCCAAACAGACAAAAAACTGGTCAGATTTTCTTATTGAATGAAAAAAAAAAAAAAAACAGAAATCTCCCATCTTTTTATATATGCTTAGAAACAAAAACAGGAATATTTTTTAGTTACTTTATTGTAAGCCTCCTTACAGGAAACTCCAGCTTATTTATTTTTTGCTGCTTTAAAGCTAAAAACATGGTTTACACAAGTTTATATGTTAGTCCTTGGGCAAAAAAGCTAAAACAGCACACTGGTTGTTCAGACCATAATATGACAGAAAAATAGGTATTGGCTAATCAATGCCTGATTGGCCCATCTTTTGCTAAACGACAGACCGAAACATAAAAAGTTCAGTACCATCATCAATATAGATGGCAAAGCAACAATTTATAGGTTTTAACATTGATTAGAATGCAATCAAAGTAGAAGTGACAAACCAGACATGACAAGATGGCAAAAAAACAAACGTTCTTTACTTCAGAGTTTAGTACCTCTCACTTCCCCACCGCATGTAGCACCTGCTGGTTCCACCAGGAGGCACCAGAGCAGAGCAAGAGCACAGCACAAATAGCAGTACAAAAAAAAGGAAACGAATGATAGCGTCAAAAGAAAGGCAACTCGGACATGTAATAAAGAAAAAAATGACAAGTAAGAAGAAGATATAAACACCTTATACTGCAAGAGAAATGTAAAAATTAGTAATTTTCTTTCCTCTTCAGGTATTTGGTCTACTTCAAGGTTTCCTGCAGGGCAGAATCCTGAAAATAATAGACAGTTGCTGCATTGGATCGCATGCATCTCCCACCACTAGTTTTGTTAAGGACTATGCACATTGTGAAATGAGACATGTCACTACTTGCTATGCCAACACCGTGCAAAAGCACTGGATTCACAATTTCATGAGCACTGCAGATAAAAAAAAGAAGACCGTATAAAACCCAAAACACCATGTACACAACCAAGACACATAAATTTAACTCATCATTTTTTTGATCACCGGTTTGACTCTGCGACTTGTTCACAAGTGATGGGAACTCTAGACAAATATTTTGTCCGTATATTTACAAGTTTATGTTTTATGTTTCTTTTTTAGTGGGTGGCGAGATCCTTTGTGAAACGTGGATGAGATCCCGACCTTGTAGTCCTTTGGAATAACCAGCACTGGATACAGAATGATGCAGTAAGCAGGGTTAAAGCATGTGCATGTAAGATTTAGATTCCACAAAACACTTAATACTGACATGTTTATACTGCCATATACTCATATATTGTTTTCAGTTTTTCCCCTTGCTCTCAGTAAAAGGCCAACAATGTGAAAGGGCAGTGGTGAACTGAAGCATTTCTGTAGAAATTAAACTGCAAATTCATGAGACCATTATACAGGGTTCCTACATATACCTCAGATTTAGAGAGTAAAAAAATCCATGTCTCTAATCCTTTTAGATAATTTTAAGATATAGACATTTAATTGAACTTTTAATGCATGGAAAGATTGGATGGGCAGATGGAGGGATAAAAAAAAAGATGGCACTAGAGATCAAAGACATACATGAACAGAAAGGAAGCACAGAATAAATGATGGCAGGAATCGAGTCACACAGGACAGGATAAAAGTATAAAGTACACAGGGAAGGGCTTAAGTAAAGAAGAAATGACATGGGAAAGGAAACACAAAGGAAAACAGAAGTAGGGTAAGAAGGAGAGGCGAAGAAGAAACTGAATGTAGGAGATAAGGTAAAGGCAAGGATACTAAGATGGATGAAGAGGAAAAAGTTGAGATTTTCAAGCTTTGTAGGAACCCTGTTCTTTCCGGTGGCTGTTCCAGGGTTTCTCCTATTTAAAATCAGTAATCTTCTGAGCTCCTATCAGCACAAAGTGGGCATTTAAAAATTACGTTCCCCGCCTGAATTGAATTTCTGAGAGTGTGAGCTGGAAATCTCACCGCACACACCATTCGGTCCGTCAGTGCACAAGTTTCTGTGCCAGTCAGTCAAAAGCTGTTTGAGGTAGTGTGTTGGTGTCAGTGCTTTGCTGATTGGCAAGCAGATCTCTCAAGGACCCTGCGGGCAAAACATTCATTTAGATTCTGAACTCCAATCAGGTGGGGTGGGGGGGGTTTAAGAAAATTGATTTGCCAAGAGTCACTCAAAGTGCTACGTATAAGCATGAGAGTCGATGAGTGTGTCGCTATGTGTAGTGAATGGGTGAAGGGCTGGCTGAGACAAAGGTGACATGGCACGGTTCATTCAGTTAGTCTGTTTGTCCAATCAATGTTGCTCAGCTCTCGTTAGCCGCCACCAGCTGGCCTAAAGGCTGGCGAACAATCACGGCCTGTATGTCCTTGCTCTTGATGCAGTTGTCACAGGCCCAAACGGCAGCGCTCTCTGTCGTCAGCAGCCCATATGCCGGTTCTGTAAGGCCTGTACAGTCACGGTGGTACCAGCGCTGGCAAGAAGCCTCGCAAAGGATGGCGTCCTGGTCGTCATGTACCTCCGTCCTACAATGGCCGCAAGGGAAGACCATACCGGGCACACCAAGTTTTCCAGGACCTGAACTGGGTCCGGTTGTAGGGGCAGTGGGTCCAGAAGGTAAAGGGGACTGGGTGTTAGGGGTCGAGGTGGAGTTTGAGGGAGGGTTGGGGTTGCTGCCAGGAGTGTTGCTTCCGTTGTTGTTAGTCATGTTATTCTGATTTGAATTGGAGGCAGCGTTGGACAGGGAGCCACCAGAACCGGGAGTGCTGTTCTGCTGGTTGTAGGAGGAGGACCCTGCAGAATTTGGCGGAGTTGATTGTTGCTGCTGCATATTGGAGTTGTTGGAGTTTGGGGTATTTGTGTTGTTTGGGGGCTGCAACTGACTGGACTGAGGATGTTGGGCTTGACCTGATCCGTTCAGTGGACCAGTAGGAGAGGAGTTGGGGTTGGGCTGTGATGGGGCCGATGGAGGCTGACCGGGTGTGTTGGCACTGGGCTGTGGTACGTCTGGGTGGCCGGGAAAGCCTCCCCCTTGTTGTGAAGGCCCAGAGTTAGAGGGAGGACCATGTGTAGTGTTGGTATTCGGGGGACCGTTGGGATTCATGTTAAGCTGCTGCTGTTGTTGTTGTTGCTGCTGCTGCTGCGGGGGCCCTGGAGGCCCGCCTCCTCCACCAAAGTTCTTTCCATCTTCAGTGCCTGGCCCCGGTGGACTGGGGCCAGGATAAGGGCCATCCTGTGAGGGAGGAAACTGTCCTTGAGGGGGCATACCTGGCAACCCTCCTCCTACCATGTTGCCACCAGGGCCACCTCCCATGCCACCCATCATGTTCATTCCTGGACCCATACCTCCTCCCATGGGAGGCAAGGGCCCTCGTGGACCTCCGCCCCCAGGCAATGGTGGGCTGTTAAACGGGTGCCCGCCCTGTCCGTGCTGCTGCTGAGGGGGCATGCCAAAACGAGGGTGGGGTGGACCACCTCCACCTGGACCCCCCATTCCCCCTGGAGACAACATGGAATTAAATCCTGTCCCAGGATGCATGGGTGGACTGAAGTTTGGTTGCATATTGAACTGAGAGGGGCCACCAGGAGGAAATCCACCTCCTCCACCTCCCCCACCTCCTCCACCGCCTCCTCCACCTCCAAAACCAGGCATTCCTCCAAAGCCCAACTGGTGGTGTGGTCCAGTGTTGGTCGGAGGGCCAAAAGGTGGTCTGCGTCCAGGCGGGCCACTTCCTGGTCCACCTGGGCCTCCCATGAAGTTCATGCCTGGACCGATTCTACCACCACCTCCATACCCACCTCCTCCACCTGCACCTGGGCTGGGGAGAAACGGAGCCCCACCTGGTCCACCTGCCCCACTAGGTCTTGAGGGAGGTCCAAAGTCATCATCAAATGGGTTGGAGGCGACCAGATGATCCACCATAGGAGTAGGTGGAGGCGCAAACTCGGTGAGGTGGGAGAACCCCGCCGCCTGGAACAGAAAACATCGCAGTTTTACTTTTTTTTTTTTTTCCTTCTAATTTTCACCTTGGATGTTTTAAAAATTTGCAAATTAAAGGCTTGAGCAACATTGCAACTAAAACCTTTTAGATTTAAGGAGAAAAGACTGGAAGATAAAAAAAAGGCTGAAAATGAGACAACATACACACAACAAACAGCAGTAAATAAGAGTACAATACCATTAAAATAGATTACTGAACACATCGACAGATGCCTTAAAACACTGCAGTGCTGGCTGATTTGTACAGAATGAAGTTGTGCAGTTATGCTCACTTCAGTTCAAATTAGATTAGAGTTTTAATCAACGGCTGTGATCTGAGAACCTCTTCGTCTAGCATAGTGGCCGGGGCATTTGAAAAGGTGAAAAGATATTGAATTGGGGAAAAAAAATGTTGGAGCAGGGTTTTCAAATTTGTAGATTTTGGACAGGTGCTCAAACTATGAGTTTTGTTGTGTTGTTTTTTTTACATTAAAATAATATTTAAGTGGAAAATATCTGCTCACTGGCAAACCAAAAACATACCGCTTCATGTAGAGTCAATTGGTTGGTAAATATGGGGTCATAAAGGAAAATTTAAACTTTTTTTTTTTTATCTATCTAGAGCAAGGGATTAACTCAACAAAAAGGCAAAGAAAAGAAAAGGGAACGCTGTTTTTTTTACATTTGACCCTTGATTTTACGTTACTACATCATGTTCTACTCACCCATATGAGTTTTGTGCCAGTTGGAGCTGTTCTGAAGATATTCCGTCAGGTTATATCCAAGTACCGTCTTCCTATGGGCAACGACTTGAAAGTACAAACTGAACTGTTCATAATTTATTCTTTATGGTACGCCCGAATTCATAACATGTTGGCGAATCACTTTCCCCCAGACATTTGTGGTTTTATTTTTTTATATTTATATCTTTTAAAAACCAAGTGGCGCGTGTATGACGTCATCCGCGTGCGCCGTTCATTCATCCTGTCCGCAGAACTGCTGCTAGTTTTACTCACATGCATGGAAGATGTCTAGTGCTACTACCACAGATGATCTCGCTCTTCAAATGGAATTGAATAATTCAGATTAGCTAGCCGAATGAATAGAAGGGGTAGAGCGTAGCCGCCTGTAGCCCGGGCTTCCTGTTACGACTCCAGTCCGCGTGCGGGGATTATGTCATACACGTGCCGCTTTGTTTTTAAAACTTATTGATATAAAAAATATAACCGCGAATGTCTGGGGGACAGTGATTCGCCAACATGTTATGAATGATGGCGTACTATAAATAATAAATTATGAACAGTTCAGTTTGTGCCTTTAAGTCGTTGCCCATAGGAAGACGTTACTTGGATATAACCTGACGGAATATCTTCAGAATAGCTCCAAATGACACAAAACTCATATGGGTGAGTAGAACACGATGCAATAACCTAAAATCAAGGGCCAAATGTAAAAAAACAGCGTTCCCCTTTAAAGTGTGTTTGCAAATAGACGGTTTCACTGCTCTCACCATATTGAGAACTATAATAAATAAAAAAAACTCTGTTCGTAATGTAGGTTCTGATGGAAACATGGCCCAGAGGTCATTGAATGAGTTGTTCAGCCATTGACTTTGAGGCAGTGTGGAAACACCAGAACAAGTGGGCATGTTTACTTTATTTAGTGGCTGGAATGATTATTTACTATTTAGTAAATACCCAGCCTCCGAGGCCCCTCGCTTTGAACCTGCTGTTACCCCTGGCAACCCAATGCCATTTCCTGTCAAGGTCTCTCTGTCCGTATTTCACAATAAAAGCACATTTGAAACGTAACATCATGGACTGCTGCTCAATTGTTCCCAATTAACAACTTTTGATTGCGTTAGGTTTACTTTCATTTCTTTTGGAAAAGCCCCAAAAGCTCTGAATAAAAAAAATAAAAAATTAAAAAAACGTCCACTGGTTCATCCAAAGCTGCATCTGGATGATGGTTGGATTCGCTGGGACATCCTTGTAAATCTGGAGGTCAGGGAGGATGATTAATAGTCCTTTGTTAATATTGTTTTTCTATGTATTTAATTTTAAGTAAAAAAAGCTTTGCCTACGACCGGTACCTGATTGACTGATGTGTCGTGATTTCACAGAAAAGTTCGGCATGTTTCAACTTCAGTGATCACCGCTCTGCTCTCTCCTTCTCCACCCTTCATCGTTTGGTTTGCATAGGAATTCTATATGAATCCATCTCACTCGCAGCAAAAACAGCATCCACTCTAAATGCACTATTAAACTGGTTATTTTGATGATGGTGTTGTTAGATTTTTATTTACACATAACAACCGCATTATTAATCCTTCTGTTTTACGCACATTGACAGGCAAGTGATGTGGACACAAAATTTACAAAGAAACTGATTGCCTGATATTTTTTTGTAAATACACCCAATAAAATTAAGCTAATTTGGTGTAGAAGGAGCATTTTGTTGGGCATTTCACAAGGGCATAAGAAAATGAGGGCCTAACAAAAAACAATTAGAACCAAAACACAGTAAATCAAAACATTTTTGGATGTTTTATGGCCTTACATTTATATTTTAACATTTAAGATTTAAAGAGTTTTTTCATAAATCACAGAAATCCTACTGAATAATAATGACAGAAGGGGATTACAAATTTACTTCCTTTTGAATTTCTGTGAGGGGGAAGTCCAACACGGGGAGGTCAGTCGTTTGTTAAAAAAACTAGAAGTTAAGAAGTACATGTCCTCCCTCCTATAAGGATTTCTCTAAATGCATCCAACTTGGAAACTTGGGATCAGATGATGGCAGCCCATTAATAAGGGTGGCGGATGAGGAGTACATGTCCACCCTTCTTTTAGGATTTATGTGCATCTTAGATACTCTAATGTTAGTTGCCAAGTACTAAAAACAGATGGTAGGGGAGTTCCGTCTTCCTTACCAGATCTAACAAGTAGTGATAACACAATGTGGGACGAAATATGGAGATTTGAAATAGAAAATATGTTACTAGCATAAAGCAAGAACATGTTTGTCCTTGTAGTCTTGTTCCTAAAGCCTTTTCATTTTTTTCTGAAGAAAGCGTACTCACTGTTAAAGGGGTCATAGGATGCAAAACAGTTTACCTTGTCTAAAATGAATAACAATAGTTAAGAGGGTGATATGGACGTACAGAGAAGTTCAAACCCCAATGACATCTTCTTTCTCTGCAAATCTCACAATTCTAAACTACCACCATAAAAAACAGGTGAATCCAAAAGAAGCCCAGAGTTGATGTAAACTCTGGGATGTTGCCTTATTTGGTTCTGGCCTGTACTTTTGCCACGCCCTGAAATTTACATACAGACAAGCCCCCAGGCTATCGTCACCAGGTCGGTTCAGTCGCTCTGCCAGAGACCTTAAGGACCAGCATCAAATACTCTAAATAAACATTCTATGACCCCTTTAAATAAAACATTAATACACTCTTCTCACCTGAGTGGAGGATTTACGAGCCTTTTTCTTCTCCGGGCTCTTCATCTGTGAGGCTGCAACAGCAAAACACAGATGTAGAGGAAAATATGAGTCACTAAAAACCTCATCTTCATGTCACACATTATTGATCCACCAATAATCAGGCAAAGAACCACATTTGGATTGGCCAATTCCCCTTAGTGACAGAGTGGAGCAGTTTTAGACCTAGGGCCTTTTTTTTTCTTTTTTCTTTTTTTAAAGTCCAACAGTTGAGATGGTATCAATGATGGGACATAGACTGGCATGAGAACAAAATGCTGAACATCCAGGCGTTACCATCACCAACGTTATGAAGCCTTGAATCGCAAATGACCCAGGCAGACCAAATGACCCAGGCAAGAGGGAGAGAGGCCGCAAACAGAGGCAGAAGAGGTAAGTTCAATGAGGGAGACAGGAAAAGACTTCAGACATGAGAACAAGGAAACAGTATTGAAGATACATTTATAGCAAGATAGACGTAATACCCTGTTCACAGACTCACTCTGTGAGAAACAGCCACCACCGAAGACAGTCGTGAAGTTTACATATGGGGGAGGCGAAAAGTGATTTGCTAACAGCACCAGTGCAGCCCATTGCAGCGCAGTAATGGATGATTCCGATCTGATGGGTGAAGATAATTCCTACCTTTTCTTTTTCCTTGTCCCGCCAGTAGTCTCCCCGATTCGGAAGCCATTAGCTAATATGACTGTCGGTGAAGTGGCAAATCACCGTTCATATGCAAGGGAAAAAAAAAGTTAAAAAAATGACGACGTTTGGAAGGCTACATGCCGACAGGCTGAGTCTGCCTTTATATCAAGGCTACGGTGGCTGTGAGGTGTAAAACACAACAAGATTCTTTTTTTTTGTTGTTACTCAACCGTTTTCTTTATCCCTGCTATATTTCCTGCAACACGCAGTAAAACTATAGAGCTTTGTCTGCTGTTGTTGTGTTTTTCATCTCAGGTTTAACATTCCTGTCAGTGATTTAACCAGAGAATTTGCTAACATTTAAACGTGAACTGGATAAGCTGGAAAAACAGCGCCGGCCCAGGTCTGCAAACTCCTCCTCAGCTGCAAATGTTGTAGCCAGGATGTCTGTCACGCCGGGTTTTGGTCACCAAATCAACGTCAGACAAAAGTGACAATACGAATATTATATAGCACAAATTTACAGAGCCCATAAAGTGCCACAGATTTGAAATAAAAGGGAAAGAAATCTGATAATTTTGGTAGGTCAGGAGTATGCACACGTTAGCAACAAATTGGCGTCAATATACAACAGCTTATTTTACTGAGCTGTGCTTCCAGTTAGGGAAGCAGATCAAGAAAACAGGGACAGCATCAAACCAATGAATATCAAACAAAGTATTTATTTAGGAATTACCTATTTTATATTGTTTCCAATTAAGAAGGAAAAAACTACCCTGATAATTATTTGGTATATTCCCTTAAATACCTTAAACTGTAGCTTATGCTGCTTACAAATTCTAAAGACTTCCCAGAATGCTTAAAGCCTTTCTAAGATGTGTTTTTCTCATTTGCTCTATATTTAAAATGATGTAATTTTTAGATGGTTTAGTCTTGCGTGTAGCCATAACCGCCTTCTTTCTACTTGCTTTGCCACACTAACACCCAAATTTCCAACTACAAGGTGAGAAAGATATTTCTTATCTAATCTCATCTTTTGTGACAAACACTGATAGCGTGATAACGGGAATTTGATGACTTCTGAAGATCTATTTCACATAGTTCTTTTTTCTTTCTGAACTACATTCAAATACAATTGAAAATATACCATAAGAAGAGCAAGTTGTTTTAAATAAGGGTAATCTGATCAACTTGAGTTACTAGCTTCAAACCCTGGTATTTTTTGTCAAGGTTTCTGTGTTCCGAGCATATCCAACTGATCCCTGCCCAAATGGCATAATAAAAATGAAGAGATCGCTGGTTGTTACTGAATGTCATGGAGATTGTTAGATATATTACTAAGACAGATGAGTTAAATGTGTGAGGAAAAGGGTAATTGTTCGCAATTAACATTGTCATCATACATTTTAACGACAGTACCACTACTTTGTTTATTTGTATATTGTGCAGACCAATTTTATACACCTTAAACTACAAAACTCATTTGGGAATTATATAATTCCAGGGTCTGCTTCTTAAAGGGATAGCTTAAGATTTTGTCGGGAGCTGTACCTTCTGTACCTTATTTATTTAGGTACAGAAGCAATGTTAACTCACTGCTTTCATACCCATTCCCATAAAAAAAAAGAAAGCCATATTGGTCATAACACTGTAATACCTCACCTAACCTAACCTAAATAAAATAAAAAACTATGCATTAGGATGAATCAGAAGCAGCAAATAACGAGCACATATTTATAGCAAATGATAAGACAATTTAGTTTAAAAAAAATCTGAAACTGATCATGGAGAAACACGTTTTCCATTGATAGAAATTGTTCAAGACGTGAACATAAACACATATTTTTTTAAAGTTTGGATTCTAATATTTACTCACGTTCTTCTGTGCACACGTTTCAGAAACGTTAACGCACGTTCCCAACTTCTATTTTCCCTACACTATCTGGCACTTACAGGGCTCCGTACAAATTTGTGTAGATGTAAAACAGCTTATTTCTGCTGTGTAATACTGCTTTCCAAACAGTCAGTAAAAATACGTTAAAGAGACCCCCCTCCCTCCCCAGTCATTCTCTAATCACTTACAGATGTTTGGTTAGCAACTTACTGGTGACTACGTTTGCTAACCAGTTAGCCACATTACCAAATGCGGCTAGCCAGCAGCGTTGAGCTTTTCCCTCAAAACTTGTATTAACCATAAACCAAACTCTACCATGTATGTGTATACAGTCATCAATAATCAAATGCGGTTAAATTTAAAACTTATCACCTAATGTATAGATTGGTGTTTTGCTATGCTAACATTAGCGTGCTAGCTGCAGACTGCTAGCCATCTAGCAGACTATCGTGGATGCAAACTGTACCCTTTCTCCGATGCTTGCTCTGCTGTCCTTTAAATTGAAACTCGCTGGTGTGTCATTGCCAGCAAACCAGTCCTCACACGGTGTGTGCTTGTTGATCCACCATTCAACTGTAATTCATTCAAAAACGCAAATTTGTGTCATAATTATCACGGCCTTTCTGCCGCTACCGGACAAAGAGGGATAAGCAGGGTTAGCGAGCTTCACGGACCGCTACATTTCATTACAGAGATAGGGGTGTCCGCCTTTGTTTGCAACTTGTTTTAGGACCATATTTTGTCAATAAAATGTAAAATAATTTGTATTCGATACGAAAAGTATAAATACAATAATATTTTTTCGATATTTTCCAGAAAAAAGCAAAAAGCTTTCATTTTAATTTAGAATAGAATCCCATCTACACCTTTGAGTGGTCTGAAATAGGTAGAGGTGGCGTGAACAGTTCAACTTGGATTTCAATAAAATGCAGTCAATTCATTTTGGCTATTAAAAAAAATTAAAACTCTTCATCGCTTCATCACTATGGAGGACCAGCTGTACTATATTTAAAAATAAATACATAAATAAATAAATGCTCAATAAATAAATAAGCATAAATACAATAAACAAAAACATGCAGGTAGAAATTAAATTATACAGTTAGAAATAAATGTATATATCTTTTTTAATTAACTTTATTTATTTTTTAAAGTATTTTTGTGCATGTTATAACATAACCCTTTGCATATTTTTTACCCTATTTATTTATTGAATGCTATTTATTTCTGCCTGTTGTTGTTACATTTCTGTTTGTATTTCTGCCTCATTATGCAAATGAGGAAGGGCTGTGTCTTAGAGGGTAGTGCAGTAGTTAAACCTACTTTTAATTGTTGACTCTTTGCTATAAAACAAACAAAATAATTATATATGGTGTATGGTATATGGGGATTCATTGTCATTCTTTGTTATTACCTCCTGATGTCAAGAGCAAACAAGCTTATACAAAAGCAATGCCTTATTGCATTATTGCTATTTAAGTTTACACAGTAATTCAGTCATTTTATTTTTTTATTAAAGATTCTGCAAGTGGTTGTCCGTAAAGATCGAGATAATCCTCAGGCCAAATTAAGCTACTCCCTGTTGCATTTGCACTGCCATATCATCAGCCAGCATTCCTGAGAGAAGGGTTTTAAGAATAAAAAAAAAAAAAACGTAAAAGACCTAATCTCCTTCAGTGGCTCAAAATTACCAGTATGATGCTTGCACAAGAGAACCAAACATTAGACATTTTTAGGTTGAAGATTTTTTTTATTGTCTGATGTAAATACATTAACCTTGATGTTTATTGGCATTGCAAGAAGATCCCACACAGCATATTGGAGAGCAGGTCCTGTTCTAGCTGTACATAAATGAGGAGGCATCTAGAAGTATGATGGCACCATCTTTATCCATGCACATTATGCTCCATATTGTATTTTGACTTGGGTTTTCTTCAAGGGACAGGGGTAACAGTTAAAAGCTGATATTTAGAAAATATTGTCACGGAAGGTTCTCCAGTTTGACTGACTTCAGACAGACAGAACAAGATCACAACCTGCCCAGTATGATGCTCTGCACAACTTGATTGATGTTCAATTTTGTCAGGTTTGATTTCAGGGGGCGGCCCCAGTTTATAGCCGGCCTTTCTGGAGAGGATGCCGGCATCATCTATTGTGCTTTTTCCTTCAGTGAAACAACGGAGCTTCAGGGTTTGAAGATGCATCAGACTGCAGCCGTCTGTCATGAGTTGTTCCCTCATGGTTGAAGATGTTCATCTGTGTTGTAATGAATAGGTTTTTTTTTAACAGGTCAGCAGTTCAAACTGCATACCTGCATGTCAGAGGACTTAACATTTTCCCCTTATAAACTAGTTGTCGGTAACAATACAAGGAAGAAAATGAGAAATTAAGTAATGGATGATCATGTGAAATGTCAGAGGGTAAAATTTGAAAATACACACACAAAAAAAATCAAAAGGGAATTAAAATCCAAGACAAAAGCTGAGTTATATGACCATAAAGCCATTCTGGCCCTCATCAGTGCAAATGAACATAAGTTGGTTCAGTCCAAACTGAAGTCCTATAAAAAGTGTGTCATAATATAGTCATGCAATAATATAGTTTAATAACTGTTATATGACTGTAATAAATATATATATTGTCTTATTCTGATATTTCAGTATATATTGACTACAGCATTTGTCACTGAGCAATGTTTAATTTTTTTGTCTTTTTTTAAAGCAAATATTTTTAAATTGTTATATTAAAGGTGTTGTATACACTTGGTAAAACTAATAGTTATACATTTTTACAGGATTTTGTCATTTGCATGTCTTTCTGAGATGGTTATTTTTTCATATCAAGAATTTCCTCATTGTGGGACAATAAAGTTATTTTCTCTTCTATTCTATTTATGTTAATATAGCATTGATATAAATTTAGAATTATAACATCATAGAGTTTTTGGCCATAGACAGGGGTGAAGCTAAAGACCACTTCTAGAGAGCTTCAGAAAGACCTGGAATTAGCAGCTACAAATATTGTAAAGAAAAAAGTAAAAAAATGCCCTCTGCTGTACAACCATAGTCTGGATGCATGCTCATCAAGCGAGACTGTTTTTTTTTAAAGAAAAATTATGCTAAAGCCAGTTTAGAGTTTGCTGCATAATATTTGGACAAGTAAGTAAAATTTTTGTTTGGTCAGATCAGGGCAAAATGGAAGTTTTTGGATTCCATAATAAATGATATGTTTGGAGGACATGAAGGACGGTACAGCACCCTGAATAGTATGATCCTTTCCCGGCCCTCTGGATTCCACTCTGTCTGCGGATTTCTTTGAACCGTTCATTCAATGAAGGCCTGATTACCTACCTGGACCATTGTTAGGACAATCCTGGGGCCTCCTCAATGTGTTTGCTAAAACCTCGACAGGTTGGTCTTATCTCATCCTGAGCAAAACTGTGCTGACCTGCCTAACCCCAGTTCAATTCAATTCAATTTCAATTTCAGTTTATTTATATAGCGCCAATTCACAACACATGTCATCTCAAGGCACTTTACAGTTCAACCAGATCATAAAGTCAAATTAATTAAAAAAACATTTTCTAAGGAAAACCAGTTCATTGCCTCAACTCATTGACTCGATTGCAATCCCTCACACTAAGCATGCTTGTAGTGACAGTGGAGAGGAAAAACTCCCTTTTAACAGTAAGAAACCTCCATCAGAACCAGGCTCAGTGTGAGCGGCCATCTGACGAGGCTGACTGGGGTTCAAGGAGACAGAAGCAGAGATACAAAAAGCAGCTGTAAAAGGCGGCCCCATCCAGAAAACACACAGCCAGGCAGACGAGCTTCGAGCCAGCTCCCATGTCAGAGGATAAAGAGAGCACATCCAACCAGTCACACTCAGAGAAACAGGACTACACTGGAAAACAGGCCGATCTCCAACATCTATAAACAAGTTACTCTCTTACTTCCCTGCTTCTGATCAGAGGTTATTGCCTGTGTCCAGACCTGCAGTCTAATTTTTAAATAAAGCCTGTAAACACTTTATTCTATGAACTGTGTCATATATGGGTCATAAGATATTTACAGAGCCAAGGAAACACTCATCTGGCTTCCCAGAAATAAAGTAAGGCAACTAACCAATCACCTGATTTGAATCCAACCAAAAATCTAATATTTTATCTTTGGTTTCTGTATAACACTTTTGTGTAGGAAAGGTTTTTAGAGACAAATATTTGTTCATTGATTCGGTGATTTTATTGCTGTGTGGGTAGTGCATGGAGCTGATGTTGGAAGGAGGGGCCCAGGGCACCATTCAGGACTGAACCGCCACTGATCTCCACCCACCAGGGATTGCCTCTAACCCCCCACCCACCCACACACACACAGGGGCTCATTCATTTGACTTTTTGCCACTGCGACTCTTGTTGAAGAAGATCGACCAGCCATTCTGGGAATGGGACCAAAACTCTCTATTAAAATAAACTTCACTCTTTTTTGCATGATACCACCTCAAAGACATCTATTTATTCAAAAGGAATAAACTTTTATTTATTTTTTTTACAGTAAGTCCATTCAAGAGTTTTTTTTAAGGATAAAAGACAAGAAAATTTCCAATGGGATAAAACTTCAGTATTCTGTTTTTTTCTTTGCTTTTTCATTGTTCACCCTTTTATTTTTGATTGAGGAAATTTTCAAATGAATCTTTTAAAGTGAGGTGGGAAAACATTCTTTACAAGCTTCCTATTGGAATAAAGCAGAGCAAGTCTTTTGTTAGAGAGGCTGTGATTGTCTAAAGGTGGGTCCCAGGGGGCCCCCGTTGCATGGCGCTGATAGGTGTAGGTCCAGTCAGGGGAGTTTACTGGTTTCAATCAGATGGAAAAATGGCAAAGTGGTTCAAGGATTTCCCAATAACTCTGAAGAATGGTACGGACAAGATCCGCTCAGTGGTTGAGCCAGGCTCCCAAAGGAAAGCAAATAAAGCTGGATTTGGGGCCAAAACGGGCCATCGCAAAGGCTCCCCTGCAGACAGCACAGCAGGAGGTGGTGGAGGTGTTGGCTCCTTGTTGTCCGGAAGGAACCGAAAGAACTCAGAGGTCAGAAACGGAGCTGGATCCCAGAAGGATGGGAAAGTTTGGGACACCTTGGTGTCTGGAAAAAGCCGCAAAAACTCCAAAGCAGAGGCGGTGCTGGAGGAGATGCACAGACCCCCAAAGTCCACCCCGCCCGCCTGCGGCTACATGAGCCGAATGGTGAGAGTGGACAAACAGGACAAAAGCCCCAATTTCACTACAGTAAGTGGTACCGTCAGCAGTCCACTGGACCCTGAAGTGGAGAAACCTGCTGCCCTGAGCAAAACGGAAACTGTAAGTTTGATTCCAAGGGCCAAATTTGGCATCACTAAATACAGAATTTTTCAACTTTTAATGAGGCCATTTTTGAGCTGTAATTCTAATATTAAGAATCAGTTCGACTGTCCCAAGTTTGTTTGGGTTCCCCTGCAGAATTCCATGTTGGTCCTATGAATTTAATAAATATTTTCCAGATCGATTTCCATAATATTGTCTCAATAATCTAATGACAGATGACAAAGACAGAATATATAGATATAAATAACCAGAGTTAGAGTTGCAAAAATAACTTACTAAACAGGAAAAAACTGTTTAAATAACTTTACAAAACATGCATAGAAAAGCATAAATGGTTCTGATCTAATTCTCCCCTTTCATCTCTGTATCTGACTTTGATCAAAGCGTAAACTGGACTCTGAGGTATTTTTCATCCTGTTTACCGCTTAAATTTCATCCTGTTTACAGCTTAAAAAAAAAAAATTGTATTGAGAAACCCCAAACATGTGCAGTCTGTTTATAACTTCACGTGCTGTTTAAGGTAAACAGCATTTATGGAGAAATAGGTTTCAACTATACATATTTTAAGGGGATATTATTATCATATTCAGAGCCAAATTTTTCTTTTTTCCCACAAAAAAATATATAGATATATATAGATATATAGATACGTATATTATATCCAAAAGAGAGCTTTATGTGTTTATTATTACAGGCACATCTTAGTGCCTTTTTAAGGCAGTGTGTAAACACTGATGAGATGACATCAAGCACTATAACAGTGTTAACCTGCAGAAAGGGCTTCAGTTATGCTCAGGAGCCTGGATCCAGTCCAAGCCTTAAAAATCAATATTATTACATCACTTTGTGCTTCTGATTCTTTTTACTCCTCCCAGTTTGTCTCTCTTCATTTACCTCTACCGTTTGATCACAGACCTTCCCATGCCTCTGCCTTCATTACAAAGAAAGGTCACCACCTTCCTGTCCTGCGTGCAATCTGGCTTCTCTACTTATTATTAGAGTGATAAAGCAGAGAGGCATTGTTCATCCCTCTGGTGATCACTATTCTGGTATAACACATATTGTGATTCAGTGTTCACCAAAGTCTCTAATGAAAAAGTCTGGATCTATTAGCCCTGCACATCCAGAGGCAGGTTTATATTCTATTCATCTTTGTAAATTAACCTATAGCTCTGTCAGACTGGATGGAGAATATCTGTTGATATCTCAGTCTAACCTTTAAATAAGTCATTCTAACATACATTAATTAATTAATTAATACTGATCAAAACCAATATTTTCTTCTGGATTAATTTTTTGGTTCAGTTTTTCTACTAGAAGGTAAAACATTTTCCATAATTTTAGTCTCCCATTCGCATAGCTTGTGACAAAACGTCTTTCTATGAATGAAATATATCTTTCTTCTAGCTACAGTAAAGCAAATTATTGCCACCTGCTCTTGTTCAAGTTATCACTTTATAATAAAATTTACAATTGGGAAAGTATCATTATTATATTCTCATTTAATAATGAAGAAATGCTCAATTATTTTGATTTGCTGATATACTTTTTATTTTTAGCAAGATTTTACATTATGCTCTGGGAAAATATAATAAGCATCTAAAAAAAAACTGATCAAAGCAACATTGGTTGGAACTATTTTTTACTTATTTTAATTAGAACACTGATTGCATTTAACTTCTTCTTCATCTTTGTTTATAATAAATTCCATTTATTTGTGTGTGGACGCTCATTTTGCTTGATACTTCTAATATATTATTAAAATTAATCAGCCCTACTAGTTTGTGGAGTAACTTTTTTTCTACTGAAACATTACATCCAATCTAAAAAAACACAGAACTATAAATTTTCCCCAAACAGACGTTTTAGCATTTATTTATTTATTGTTTTCATGTTGGTAAAATTAACATTAAATGTGGTGTTCTTTGATGCATTAAAAAAAGCATATAATCACTCCTAAACTGTTGCCTTTTCTATATTTTCACTAATCTAGCTGGTTATTCTGGAGGACTATGCGGACCCCTTCGATGCTCAGAGAACCAGAGAGCAGAGGGATGCAGAGAGATCTGGAGAGAACGATGGCTACATGGAGCCGTACGATGCCCAACAAATGATAACTGGTAAGAAGCTCTGGAAACATGTTTGCCCTCACAGGATTCCAATTTTCAGTCACTTCCATCGTCCTTGTGAGAACGTGAAGTGACTCTTGTCTCTGTATCCGTGGCTTTGCTATGATGACTGTATTGCATTTAGACAATGGGTGCAGTTTCCTGTCCTCACTTCCTCTTTCCTGTTTCTGTTTCCTGGCGTTATTCTCTCTAAAGGAAGCTGGCCCTGACTGGCTCCCAGAAACTCGGACGCAGCTTCTTGTATAGCCCTATATGGACCTGGCTGACCATTAATCAAAGCCTCTCAGTGGCAAAGGAAATGTGGTGTCCAATCAGCAAATCACACATTGCCAGAAAAAAAAAATTGTTTATTGTGTTGATCAGGAGAGTCAGACAATGGCACTGTCCGAAGGTGAATGGATTTTATTGGTCTGTTGTCTTTTAGGTTGTGTCTTATTGAGACAATAAATAATCACCAGAGGATGTAATGATGTAAGTCAGCAGTTTAAGACATTCAAATCCTATGTGAGAAACTATTATGAGGATTTTTTTCAGCAGCTGAATTCTGTTAATAAACCATAACTTTATGCTTAAATTCTGCCGAATACACTTCTCTGTTGCTTATTCAGATCTGGTTGTTGTGACACGTCAAGTTTGTTTTCTTAATTATTATTTAGACCAGGGATGAGAGCAGGGCTGGAAATTGAAAATTTTATACCAGCCACATGGATATTTAACCGGGCACTATTTTTCTGTAAAATCTCCTGGTGATTGTTAAAACAGATTTTTTTTCTTTTAATGCTATAGGGGTGTTCCTTTGACTCATACATTTGACTCATCAATCTCTTTCTATGTAGATAATCTACATCATTGTTTGGGAAAAAATGTCTTCATATGATTTACAATGTCTCATATCGCCATATTAGGCAGGAAAATTAGTTCATCTTTTGTGTGAAATGTATCCCTCAGAGGTAGTAAGATTTGAACAAATAAATGACGTACAGCACTGAAGTGGTCTGTGCTTTATCTGTATAGCCACCAAGCAGACGTCATAGAGCTGTAGAGAACAGCTGTTAATGACAATGCACATCCCCACATGACCGGTTCCAAGAAACAACTTGGTTTATCTGCACAAAGAAGTTTTTAATGAGACTCCATGTGGACGGTTCTAAAAATGTAGCTTTATGCAGATGTATCCGGCTGACATCTGCTTAGTGTCTCCAGTTAGCCCTGAATAATAAACACCAGCAGTTCATAAATACCCCCCATAATCAACAGATTACGAAAAATACTCCTGAAAGAAAACTTTCTGTCACTGTTGGATGACAAAAAGAGGCTTTGAATGTTGGAAATGTTTTCTACTTCTACATGCAGTTGTTAATTGCAGTCTGTGGTTCACTCTCTCCCAGAGTTGGCCAGAATATTAGGTGCAGAACTATATATAAAGGGGGAAAAAGCCCCACGAAGTATAAAATCCTGCAATCCCTGTTGGCAATGATCTGTGCATGAAGCATAAACGTTTCCACAGTCTGCCAGTGAATACGCAGACATCCATGAATTCAAGTATGAGCTAGCCTTTACCAACATAATTCTACTGTTAGTTTTCTTTCCTTTTGCTGATAGTGTGCCTGAATTTAAACTCAGGCACACTGCTGCCACACATATAGAATATATTCAGAGTGTAAATTGTGTCAAGATGCTAAACAAACTCACTCATAATCCAATAAAAGCATTTTGTTTTGCCTGAACTTTTGTGTATCTCTATATGTTTGGACTAAGGAGCGAGAGCTGCAAGACAGAAGCCATACAATCTATCTACCCAAATCTTATTGTTATTATGTGGTTAAAATGGCACCAAGTACAAAGGATGAGCAGGCACTGTATCTCTGCAGCATGGAGAGGCAGTGGAATAAAGAGCTGCAAACAGAAGAACCAGAATGTATACTGAGGGAAGAGTGGAGAATGACATTGAATAGAGAGTTAAAGCAATCACAAATAGAAGGCAGCTGTCACCCTTAACCCTCTGGAGTCTCTGAAATCTAAATAACTCAGCCTCAAACTAATGCCATGCAAATATTCACATCATCTAAAAAATGTCTTCATGAGAGGAAAATTAATGTTATGTCAATGTTTTCAGATTTTCTGTTGCTTTTTCTGTTGATTTTCTGTTGCTTTTAGTCAATTTAACAAGGATTCATGATACATTAGATCAGGAAAAAGATAGTAAATAAGTCTCATTTTAGCAGGGGTTAGTAGACTTTTGGTTTATCTCAAATTCAGTTGCATGCCAATTCAGTGTGTTTTTGTGTCCAGTTTCCACAGACTGTAGCCCTCCTTAAGCTCTCATGTACCCAGCGGATATTTTAATCTTTAATCCATTCTCTTTAACCTGCCAGAGATCAGACGAAGGGGATCTAAAGACTTGCTGAAGGTGTGTGCGCCTACTGATGGCAGTGAAGGAGCTGCAGAGAAAGGTCAGCCAGCTGCCATCTATGATGACCCATATGAGGGAAGTGCTGACAGTAAGAAGACGGCTGTGGTGAAGCCAAAGCTGGACCAGCGACCCGTCACTGAATACGAGCTTGCCTGGGAGTGGAGGAAGGAGCACATTGTCAGGACTCTGTCGGGTACAGCGTGGAATCTTTAAACTCATTGTTTTTTCTTGAATCATCACTGAGTTTGATTGTGGTTAAAGCCTTTTAAGCCTACTTGGCAGTGTTTACCCTTCCTTCGCCTGCTTTACCCTCACATGTATTTTTTATAAGCTACACAGACCAACAGCATTCTGAACAACTTGTACTAAACATCAAAGCACCCCGCTGCTGTTTTATTATTTCCTAGACTTCAACAGAGAGTTCAAACGCAAAGACAAAGTTTTTCTTGCATATAGTTTTTTCTTTATTTTTTGTTTTGCCTGTGCTTGTCTTTTCTCAGCACAATTCGACAGCCCAGTCAAAGAAGAGATGTGCCATCAAACACTCACAAGACAGACCCAGTTGCAGCAGCATCAGAGGCAGAAAAGCAAAAGCCAGAAAAACTTGAGATCCTCTCACCCAACTCTGCTGCCATCTTCAGCTCGCTGCGGCAGCCCAGATGGTGAGACCTGCTGTGTGGACCCCTCACTTCCCCTTGAAAAACAGAGGTAACATCCTTTATATGCCAAACAATTCATTTGATTAAATATGGTTTTCGTTTTTTACATTTTGTCATATTAAAATCCTAGCTTCTTGTTTATTTTAGTTAGATTTTAAAGTGACTCAAAGTGGGACATCCCTAAAAGCAGAAAAATAAGTGTGGTGTGCATTTAATTTCATCCACTTTACTCTCGTACACCTAATTAAACACCAATACAACAAAATATATATATACATCTATATATATATATATCTATATATATAGATATATATATAGATATATATATAGTATATTAGCTATCTTAACCTTAACCCTGGTGTAAACCCAGCTGTTTCATGAAAGACATCAAGATTTCTTGAAAAAAACAAAATTCATTATGAAGAATGTGGAAATCAAAAGACAGGACTAGGATAAAGATGTGGGGAGGTTTACATCAGTTTTAGGTCATAAAGGCAAGGCAAGTTTATTTGTACATTTCAGTACAAAAAAAATTCAAAAAGCTTTGTAAAACAACCCCCCAAGAGTTAAATGAAGTTGCACATGATTGTAAGGTTTCGGTATGTAAAGGACCCAAATGAAGACTGGCTGAAGTGAGAAACGGTTAAATTATAATAAAAAATGTTACATGGGTGCAGAAGAATAACAGGACAGTTTAAGAGGCAACAGTGTGCATATAAAAAATGCATATAAAAAAATCAGTCCACTCTGACTGAGCCATTTGGTAAAGATGAGTGTGGGGACAAAATCAGGCGGTTGAGCAGCGCTGATGCTGGTAGCCTCCTCTGCTTCATCTTCAGCTGTAAGAAAAAGTGTTTCTACAAAGTATTGACTCAGAGGGGATTGAAATAAATGCATTTTTCAGATTTCAATTAAAATGTGAGGGCTGCTCAGTGTGTGTAGGTGGCATTGTTGCCTTGCAGCAAGAAGGTCCCAGGTTCGATTCTCGGCCCAGGGACTTTCTGCATGGAGTTTTCATGTTCTCCCTGTGCATGTGTGGGTTCTCTCCGGGTACCCCGGCTTCCTCCCACAGTCCAAAAATATAAGTGTTAGGTTAAATAGCTTCTCTAAATTCTCCTTAGGTGTGAGTGTGTGTGTGAATGGTTGTTTGTCCTGTTTGTCTCTGTGTTGCCCTGCGATGGACTGGTGACCTCTCGAGGGTGTACCCCGCCTCTTGCCTGTAGACAGCAGGAGACGGGGACAAGCACCCCTTGCAACCCTGCTTGGGATAAGTATAATGGAAAATGGAAAAAGTGGATGGAAATAAACATGTTTTACATTTAATTTATGAACTATATTAGAGTTTGTTTCTCTAATATGACAAGATTTGGAAGTTTCTGCTGATTTCCAAGCTTTCACTAAGATGGTGGAGATTTTTATAGTGGTTTTATAAACCCTCTGCATTTATGACTTATGGTATAATGTTTACAAATCTCATTATTTCCCAACATAAAAGCTCAACAAACAATTTTATTATCAAAGAGTCTAACAAACTTTTCGATTCTACACTTTATATCTTCCAGCTGGTACCATGGTTATGTGACCAGACAGGAGGCGGAGTCACAGCTGCAGTCCTGCAAAGAGGCCAGCTTCCTGGTCAGGAACAGCGAGTCTGACAACAGCAAGTACTCCATTGCCCTCAAGTGAGTGTTTTCAGGAAGTGCAGGGGCATTTTTTTCTGGATGAAGTGTTTGAAAATGGGTGCTCATTGCTTATTGGTGGCATGCTGTTGTTGGTGTTTGGAAGAATTAAGTTTGTGGGTTTGTTAGTCATAAAGGTCATGGGGATAATGAGTGCTCAAAAGCATCTTCATTTAATTATTTCAGTGAAGTGGATTATTATTTTGTACACTTTTTTTTTTTTTTTTTTTTTTTTTTTACAGATGGTATTTATTATTTTTCACCTGTTAAAGATATGCATATTTTAAAAAGCCAAATATATCAAAGGAGCTCTACAATCACGTATTCTCCTTATCTTCACATTACCCTGTTTGTACTCTTTAGAGCTTCTCCACTTCCTATCCTCTAACATCTGCATTTAATTTAAACTTATGTGCTCTGTTTCTTTTCAACTATCATATAATTTCTATTGAGCCACAAAGGCAAGGCAAGTTTATTTATATAGTGCATATTATCAATGCAGTAAAATAAATACATAAACAAACCTTAGATGAAATAGTCTGAATGAAAAAGACTTTGTTGGACAGAACAATTCAAGACCAAGATTTTTAGTTTTGGATTCCTGATAAGTGTTGATTCTATTTAAACTGTATATAATTATAATCTAGTATTATTAATATGATATTATGCAAATAATTTTGGGATAAAACTAGTGGAAATAAAGGCAACTGTAAAGTTGTTACCAATAGATAAATCATACATTGATTGAGGGGGAAAATTAGCAAAGGTTGCATTATCAATAACATTGTATTTAGGTCAAAACTAAATGCAGTAAGTTTTATATAATCAGTAATTAGAAAAAACAATTGATGTATAGAGAATAATTTTTTTCTTCCAATTATCATTTGGATAGAATAGAAGTAAATGACTTGTCTTTCTTGCCTGTGCCTCAGGACGAGTCAGGGCTGTGTTCACATCATTGTGGCCCAGACTAAAGAGAACAGCTACACCCTGGACCAGAGCAGCTGTGTGTTTCCCAGCATCCCAGAGGTGGTGCACCATTACTGCACCAGGCGCCTGCCTTTCAACGGAGCCGAGCACATGACGCTGCTCCACCCTGTGCCTCGTCTGCAGTGACTATGACCTTAAAACCTCAAGTTTATAAAGCAGGGAGTAGAGAAAATAATTACAACATTATTTTTATTGCATCTAAAAAAAAATCCCACTGATATGTTATTTTAGTTGATTTAATGTCTATCTAAACTCTGTTTAGGGCCCTCAGTTGGTTTATTTTACTTTTAGTTTGAGTGAATGTGCAGCTTATGCAAAACATCAAGGCTGCTATTTTGCATCTAAATACGCTCAGCAGAAATAACAAGGCACTTTTTGTCTGATTTAAATGTGACCTGAGTTCAAGAAGGGATAACAGATGTGTTATTAGCCATGTCCCTAAACACTGCTGCTATTTTATTGTTATTTAGTTACATTTGAGGATAATGGAAACTTTTTGTTTGGCATTCTCTTCTGCCTTCTAGTGGACAAGGACATATCCTACACCTGCTTACAAAAGTATGACTTTTTTTCTCTTTGCTTAAAAGCCAATTTATCTATTTCTAAAGATGTATAAAAACCCTGCGAGCTTGGTGACATTATATGAAATAGTAATTTATGCATTTGATTTCTGTACCCATTGTCCCATGAGGATGTTTCCCCTCTGTGAACGAGGAAACATTTTCCACTGCATTTTGTGCACTGGGAATAATGTGTGATTCACCCTAAAGCAATGTGCTAAACAGAGTGCCAGCTTTGTAGTGATTATACTTTTTACAAGAGCTAAGAATATCAGGTTAAACATGTCTGCTCATTTATAGGAACATTACAGTGATTTCCAATCGGTGGAGAGGTAGAGGTCTATCTATTAGTACTTTGGAGATGACTTTCATTGTCGTCTGTTAATATGTTGCACACATGCTTTTCCCTGTTGGAACAAACCAGAATCAAATAAGTAGGTCATTTGCAGGACTCTGGAGAACATTAATTCAACCAATAAGGTAATTAAGTCATTTAATTCAGGCGTGTTGGAGCAGGGAGAAATCTAAAAGTCACAGGATTCAAGGACTTGAGCTTGCTCCAGATTATTCAACATCCTACTTCTCTCCTATGCTCTCTTGTTTTTAGTTTATGTAGGATTTGGATCTAGGTTCTGTGTCTAGTGAAGTATTTCTAGTTAATTTGGGCATATGGTTTTGATCATTGTGCTGTCATAAAAAACAACAGTGGCACAAATGTCACATTAGTAGTAGAGCCAAGTAGTATTGGCTTCTAAATCTAAATCTCTATAATGTAGTCTAAAAAAAGTTTTTAAAGGTATAGACAAAGTGGGCATGAAACTGGGGTGTTCTCCTCCTTTGACATGGCCTGCCTGCTGTGTTCATGGCAGGAAAATATATCTTAGTCTCATCCCATTGAGATCTTTGTTCCCTCAGTCTTCATGCTGTAATTTCAACTGATACACAGTTCAGGTCCAATTTCACGTGATGTTTAAAAAAATAACATGTTTACATATGTGATGGTAGGAAAGAAGACTTTTATTTTGTTCCTTTCCTGGCATTTCTCCTAAACAACAGCTGAAATGTAGATATAATGGGTTTTCTGGAGACTTGGGGACATCAAGGTACCACTCTTTGCTGCAGCTGAGCTTATGTCAGGTGCAAAGATAAACTTGATTCGAAAGTCAGCCTTGTTTGTTGCTGCTCTAGTTTATTTAAACTTTAACACTCCCTGACCGTAGGTGTGAGCAGTACAGATGAGAATGTGTTTTATATGCTTTTGGAAGATCTACATTCATCTACCCTCCTGCAACAACACGTTCTGATGTGTTGCTAATTTTCGTTAATGTCTTGCAGAAAGTGGCCACAATTTCCATGGTATATCCTAGAAACACTGAAAAAAATATAAAATGTTTCTGTGGTTAAAACTTTTTTTATATGCATTGTGTTGCTGTGAATAATTGTATGGCATCAAGGATTTGCTGGGGGAAAAAAATCTTAATTTGGATTAAACTGGAAAAAATTGTTTGAAATAAATAATTTGGGAAGCAACAAGTTAGGCAAAGAAACTCATATCTTCATATCTACATACACTGGGTTTACAATGTGCTTTAAGATTCAAGAGCACATACCAAACCCGGCTGTGATCAATTATGTTTTTCATGGTCACTAAAGTTCTGGATGGTTAGAGGAAAAATGTATGCACTCTGGCAACAAACTAGTTTCTTCCATCACATTCCACAAGAAATGAAGCTTTTAGTGTTGGTGCAAAAAGAGAAGCTCCTGGAAATGGAATGGTAAGGGATGACTATTTAAAAATATTGCTAACAAATAATTATTTATAAAAACGTACAAGTTTGAAAAGAAAAATTATTTGTTAAAAAACCTCAAACTAGTATGTTGGTGAAGTCAGATTAGCTCTGCTTAGATCTAGTTTTTCATATAAGGAAAAAAAATCCTATGGTCAGTTCTTGTTTTTGTGGTAAAAAATGATTTTATTATGAAGAATTGCTCTGTTTTCTAGTGTCTGCTCACAAGCTTGATTCTTGTGAGGTCATTTACCCAAGCCTGATCAGCAGTTTTCTCTTTACTGAGCTTATAGTGAGATCCACCTTCGACAAACATTTCATCATGAGCAAGTGTACTTGCTCAGGTAGCTGATCCTCTGCCTGTTCTTTCCGTTAAAGGGAGGAGTTCCGTTGCAAAGAGGTGGAAAATACACAGAAGATGTTTGCATTTTCTCTAAAATTCTTGGTTTTACAACCTATCTGCTCAAACATGCAGAGCATTCAGTTTTGTGGTTCATCAGCATCCTGGAGTTTAAAATTCAGCCTCAAATCGAGTCTGATTATGATTCGACTTCCACAGCTTTATATTTCTTTGAGTCAAACCACTAACATGTCACTTGAATTTTTTGTTTTTTATTGTTTTTTGATGTTTCTGTTTTAATGTGATTTAAATGTGAACCAGCTTTAATGCGTCTGAATCTCAGAGATTGATGCTTTTTACTCTCTGATTCCAATAAAACCAGCAATGGAAAATGAAAAAAAAATTAGTCTGTTTGTGTTGGTGCTTCAATGAAACACTCTCAAAGTTTTCTTGCATCTCATCAATCCTGAGCAACTATGACAGAATGGGGGGTTTGAGCTCACTCTGGATGTTATCTTAACTTATTGTTCCAAAGATTGACAAGGTCAGGAGGTGTCTTGGATGAGGGATTAAGTTTTAACCTGAGGATTATGTGGAACACAAACAGTTTACCAAGCTGAACTCTATAGTATGGATTAAAGTAAATGCAGCCCTAAAAGGAGTAAGAGTCGGATCATTTCACTCATGTCAAGGATGCTTAATGTGAAGGGGGAAAAAAAGAAGCATTTGACACCATCCCTCTCTTCTTCCCTTCTTTTCTTACGGATCTCCTTTACCTGCCTCGCCGGCTCTGTGTCACCCGAGGCAGGTGACTGTCTGACTTGCAGAGGGGGATGTGGGTGCTTCTTATGTATGTTTGATGCCAGCAGTTTGTGGTTCAACACATGATGGTCTTATTACTTTAAAACCTCAGATAGCTTTCAGTCTTCTCACGAATGCTGCAGCACCTCTGGGTTTGGGGACCGGTGACTGGTGGAAAATAAAATAATAATAAATATATATATTTCTATACATATATATCGCTGGATTTCATAAAGAACAGTGCTGGTAGGATTTTGGAGGGTTTCTGAGATCAAATAGGGTGGAAATAACATTTCTTGAAACATGCTTTGACAGTTTACTTACATGTCACGTTTACTTTATGTTAACGTCTTAGGGGTTCTCCAGTTTTCAACATTTTAACAAGTATACAAAACACACCCTTTTTGGACAACCTCCCCCAAAAGGCTACAGGAAAGGTTAGCTTTTTCCCCAGCCTTATTTTATTGTAGCTGGGACTAAGAAAACCATGTTCATATGTGGTTATATAAGGTAAAATTATTATTGCTCAATTTCTACCTTAAAAACTTTCTATAATAAAACACGATTTAAATAAATCAATGATAAAATAAAACAATTTGAGAACATCAATTTTAATGCACAAGTACACTAAAATGTGTAATTATATGAGCCAAGAGGACATTATTTAAAAAATGTACACTAGGATTTCTACTAGAAGTGTTTTTCTTTTCAGTAAACCCTATTATTTTCCTTAATAGAAACAAATTTGTGGATTATGTAATAAAACCATATTGACACGTTAGCTAAAAAAATAACTGTTCACACTCCGACTTATTTATGACTGAGAAAAGACAAAAGATAAACCTATTTACATAAAATCCATCTTAGATTCTGCAGCAGCAATTCTAAAAGTCTGTATCCCATCTTATGGGACAGGGGTTGACTGTTTGACCCAGTTTACAGATGTCTATTTTTACTTACATAGGTGTTCCTTTTTTTGAATACAGAACTAAATCACTAACCATGCAGAAACTAGTTTTGCTGGAACGAAAACAAATCAGATCTCCAAATTAGGTGCTTGAGAACAAAATAATAAAAAGCTTTCTGAGTCTATCATATACAAAACAATGAAAAATAATTCTTGGTGTTAAAGGTTTGGACTTCAGCTGCAAAATGTAGACCCTCGGGTTAAATTTGATGCACACAACAGAAAAGCATGGAGACATGTAATGTTTCAACTGTTAAGGCAACTGTAAGGGTTGTTATGGTGTGGCAGATATTTTCATGGCACTTTCAGGGGCTTCTTAGGAACAATTAAATCTCATTTAAACACCAGAGTACATCTGACTATGGTTGCTGTAAATCTTTGTCCTTTTAAGACCAAAGTATACACATATTTTGATGTCTACTCTATTAGAATAATGCACCATATCACAATGCTCAAATAATCTTAGAGTGGTTTGTTGAACATGAACTGTCTGGTGGCTCTATGTAGTAAATAAAGTTATTGAGCAATAATTACTCAGTGGTTCCAGTAAGTCCTTCTGTGTGCCATTGTAAACATAAGCATACAGTAAACATAAGTAAGTAGCTAGCTAACAAGGCAAAGAGCAGATCAGGACCTAGAAAAATAATCAGACTTTAGATTTAAGAGAAAACTATTATCTTTAATCAAAGTGTGAATGTTTCTGGGAGAATTTTACAATTCATGCAACTGATCAAAAACTTGTTTTTAATGGTTAAAAGAAAAAAAAATCTTGGCATTATCTTAGCAGAAGCAGAATTTAATGCTATCATTTATAATGCCTCTCAATGCTAGACTGTGAAGAGATACGACTGGGCCTGGACAAGAGCCTTGTGGAACACCATAACTGATTGGTGAATTATGAAGACATCATTATTTTGTATAACCGGATATCCTTAGCAAAAAATCTAAATAATATATTCTAGTTAAGTTAATATTTTGCTGTGCAGTGCAGTCATCAAATGTATATCTTCTTCTGCCAAAGTCGTGGCCTTGTGTTCAAATTTGAGTCAGCAGCAGGAAACCAACAAGATTAACGGAACCCCACCAGCTCTGCCAGGAGGAGCGGTCAAATATCCAACCACAACAATGCCAGACGTTGGTGTCCTCCTGGAGCATCTGATCTAGGTGCAAATGCTATCCATATATTAGTAGTGCAATACAGGATGGTTTATTTTGACACAGTGATTTGCATGTAGATCACATGCAATAGGCTGAAAAGATAATCAAAAGGCAAAAACATAATAAAACTGTATAATTTTTCCAAAGGCAAGTTTAAATCCACAATGTTTTGTTAAATATGGTGCAGTTTAAGCTCTTTATGAAATGAGGATATCAGAACTTTGTCTTCTGATTCATCTTTGGCAGGCTCTGAGTCTCCCTGAGGGCTTCTATCAAGATTAATTTCATGAACACGAGCAAAGCCGCCCTTCTCAAGTTCTCCAAAGACAGAGCCAGCTACACCTAGAAAGGGTTTAATCAGCAGATGATATAGAGCTACAGCCTGTTCTGCTCTATACTTGAATAAATAACCTCATTTTGTTCCCATGTATAAGTCATTCTACCCCTCTGTCCACCCGCTGCCTCTTTTTTGGCTTGCATGACAACTTGACACGATCGCCGCCTGACTCCTGATGGACGTGGTGCCTTGAGATCTTGGTTTCACTTGACCTGCTCTCTTGGTAACTGAAGTGTCCCTGTCGTCCTTATCAAACGCATCAGGCCACTGACACTGCCTGGCTCTCTCTTAGATCTTCCTCTTCCCCTCATGCATGCAGGCAGCACCTGCCATGTGTGATCCAGGTTTTTCTGACACTCTTGCTGTTCAGTTTGACCTCACCAGGTGAGGTCGGGCATGTTCTGCACTCAT